GACACCAGCCCAACACAGGATGCCGGGCCCCTCACAGGATGCCGGGCCCCTCACAGGACACCAGCCCAACACAGGATGCCGGGCCCCTCACAGGATGCCGGGCCCCTCACAGGACACCAGCCCAACACAGGATGCCAGGCCCTCACAGGACACCAGCCCAACACAGGATGCCGGGCCCTCACAGGACACCAGCCCAACACAGGATGCCAGGACCCTCATATGATACCAGCCCAACACAGGATGCCGGGCCCCTCACTAGTCCAGTTCCAGTGTTTGCATGTTGTTGGGAACACTAAGGTATTAGCAAAAGCCTTAAGTTTTATGCATCCTCTTCGGAGTTGGTTGTTGCAGCACTGCCCATGACTGTCCTCTGGGCCTGACGACCAATCATCACATCCTCATGTGCCCAAATTCAGCCTCAGAGTTAGAACTAAGGTATAGCATTGTGGTCACTCACGGCTGCATTCTTTTGGCACATGTATCCAGCTGACAATCACAGCTGGTCGTGAACAACAATCAAGTTCTCCTCAAAGCTCAAAGACAAGACTGATACATTCTTTGATTCTTATTTTTGCCATGCATAGACATGCAAGGTAACTACTTGCAGGTGAAGCTTCAGATTAAGGAAGCTAAAGATCTGTCCATCATTGCTAAACTTTCATAAGATATCATAATAGAAGAATGGATGTTTTTTTTACCCCGTAGGCCAAAAGCGTTCTTGATCTGTTTTAGTATTTTATTTATTTATTGATTTTACTTTTTAATCATATTACTCAATCAAACAGACAATATATCAATGGTACAGGAATCGACTTAGATCATTATACCTTCTGAACAGCTTAAGGCAGAAAATTAATTCTGGCATGCAACTTTTAGGCTAGCTTTGAAGGGAACTGTAAAGCATTTTGGATAAGTTGGCAGAAATATAAGATCTTTTTTTTTCTTGTCATTTGGCCTCAGCTTCATAATCTCTTCTAAAGGATTCTGCTCCTTTAAGTAGAGTAGTGTTGCGTCCTTCAAATAGGGATACATCAATTTAAGCTAAGGATAGTTTCATTTCTCCTTAACCCTGACAAGAATATGAGGTCAGAAGATTGATGGACTGTTTCATTCGCCTTACATTCTGATCAATAGCAGAATTTCCAATATGTGAAACCTGACTTGTTTTGCAAAAATTTTGTTACATGTTTTTTTTTACCTTGGCATCTAATGGCATTCACAAGTTACAAAATTAAATTTAAAAACAGCAGTAAAATGATTTGGAATAAATGCAATTAAGGACATCTCTCACTTTTCAAAATAATATTGTGTCCTTTTTAGCTGCTAAAAGAATTCTGTTTCATGGAACAATAACATAAGGTAGTCGACCAAAAAACTAATAAGCAACATTCACTTTTCGTCGCGCGGATTGCACATGTAAACTACCCCCTAACTACCTCCTGCAGCTACAACTTCATAATCAGGCAAGACCGCGCACTGCTCCTGCGCAGTGCTGGCGTTTGAGCAGGCGTGCGTAAGTCCAACCTACTGTGACGTTAAAGTGGGCGTAATTTCTTCTAGAGTAATCTCAACGCATCGAGTTGCTATTGGCTGCAGGGGAACCACGAGGTGGATTCGGGCCGATCGAGAGCTAGTGCGTTGATTTTTTGCAGCTCAAGAATTTCCGTTCCTAATGTGCGCTCCGCCAGTGATGACGTTTGGTCAAAAGCTGCGTTGCTACCAGCTGTTCGCACAGCCGTCGCACAGAGATTGAAACGGTAGACGGTTTTTGTGTATTTGTGTATTTGGTATAACTGCGGATACCCATGGCACACTTTGGCCAATGCAAACAGCTGCGTAATGACTCCAGAATAAGGGCGACTTAACTGGAGGACTGGTACTGCTCGCCTGAAATATCGGATCCGTCGGCGATATAAATTATATAACGAGTCGAGAAGACTGATCACTGAAATCTGGGAATTGTTGCTGTTTTAGCGAAAAACCGCTGTAGTCCAAAGTTTATAGTTTTCTGCCCGGTTTTCAGGCCTCTTCTTCGTGTAAGTATAAACTGTGATACTGCGTTTATTGACATGGTTTAGCTATTTTATGAGATTAAAAGATAAGAGCTGAGTTGTATCAGAGTAGATTTTTGGAATAAACCGTAGTTTGAGATCGCTGCCTCGTTGTATGCATGTGGACGCCTATAGACCTATGTTGATGTGTTGATAGTAAACAGGAACTTGTATTGGTCAAAGTCAGTGGCGTCCTTTCTTTTGAGTCTGGAGTTTAAATGACGTTTTTCTACTACAGTATCTGCTAATGTGTAGTACGTTCTTCATTTAGGATTTTATATTACACTTAGAAGCCTTATTACATTTTTAAATAACTTAATACATAGAGTGACGTTGGGGGGTCCTCTCAGAGGACTGTAACAGCTGATTATAATTGATTATAAGAAGGAGATTGCTTGAGATGGTGAAAAATCCACTAAATTGATTTGTTCTTACTCCCCAGGGAAATGATCTTTACTTGGTAGCGTGGCATCGACTGGGTCATTATGTCAGTTGTGTGGTGTTTAACCACAGTGTGTCCTAAGGTCACTGACATAAATTTCTTCTATCAACATCTCATACCTTTTCAGAGGCAGGGCCAGTATTGGGCAATGTATTACAAATTTTGAAAGTTCTTATCTATCAGAGAAATGAGTCTCGTGCCTTATTGGGCTATAGTTGAAAAATGTTGTAACTCGTTTCAAACGTCAACTGTTAAAAATAAAGTTGTTCAGCAGTCATATCAGGGAACTGTGAGGGTTGAGAAATGCAGCCTGGGCAGATGTTCAGGCAGTTGCAGGGTCCCTGACGCCGAGCTCTGCTGTGGCTTCCACTCAGGTGCGTGCTGGGAGGTGGGCCGAGGGGCGCGGCGGCAGCATGAACGTGGGCACGGCGCACAGCGAGGTCAACCCCAACACCCGAGTGATGAATAGCAGGGGCATCTGGCTGTCCTACGTCCTTGGCATTGGCCTGCTGCATGTCGTGCTGCTCAGCATCCCCTTCGTCAGCGTGCCCGTGGTGTGGACTCTCACCAACATCATACACAACATGGTGAGGGGGCCTGATGGGGGGTGCTGCCAGTCACAGAGTTAGCCTGGGGAGTGACTGTGACACTGTCAGAACAGTGTATCACAGTGGTATGTGTAAATGGGGGGGGGATTTGACAGTAAATGAGCGTTGTTTGTTCAACATTTAAAATGTCTTTGTACCTTACCTAATTAGAAGAATAGTTATAAATTTCAGTTATTCAAGTTCTTCCAATTAATTGTACAGTTGTCAGTTTTGGTTTGACGTATCACTCAAGCTATAAAGCTGCAAATTCAACCATACCAGACAGGTGGAAACCAACATAAAATTGAACACACGTAAGATAGGTAAGGAACATGCACTTGATTACAGTGCATTGCTGCACTCATCACACAACAAGCCACCTCAGGGATGAGAACCTGAGTGCAGCCAAGTGGCAGGTGATACCTCAGCACCACACTAGTCCGAATGGACCAGTCTGAGGTTTTTTTCCTGGTGGCTGGAGTGCCAGTCCTGCCACCAACCCCCAAGTTATTCCCTGAAAGTTGGAGGGACCTCCTTATAGGGCTGGATGTAGATTAACATCATACCCAGCATGAAGCAATTGCAGGTTAAGGGCCCAATGGAGTAGAATCACTCTGGGCATTCACAGGATTTGAACCAGCAACCTTCCAGTTGCTGGCACAGATCCCTGGCCTACACCACCTTAACACACATAAAACATGTTAAAACAAAATGCAGACTAAAAACCTGGTTCTTTATCAAAACACAAGTCGATCATTTACCCTCACCTGGACCACTAGTAAATTTCCTAAAATCTGGGGCATGTTGAGCTGAGGTAACCTTAGCTGCTTCCCGATTCCCCCCCCTTCGCATCCTGTATTACCTTTCGCTTAAGGTTTCTCTGCTTTCAGCCTTCCAGAAACCAGGAGTTTAACTGTTTCCAGCAGCAGAGGAGCATTATCTTCATGCCTGTTGTTCCCTTTAAATGAGTTTGTTGTCTGCTGCAGTGCATGTACATCTTCCTGCATACGGTGAAAGGCACCCCCTTTGAGACCCCAGACCAGGGCAAAGCTCGTCTTCTCACGCACTGGGAGCAGATGGACTACGGCGTACAGTTTACTGCCTCGCGCAAGTTCCTCACCATCACGCCGATCGTACTGTAAGTATTTGCCCCCGTCGTCCTCTGTTTTCGGGAGGTGGGGCTCTCCTCATCCCCCAGTGCATCCGTTCTTCTGTGTCAGTCTGATAAATTTTCCCAAAGTCTCTGTCTGTCCTTGAGGAACGTTCATATTACAAAGACGTGTCTGATTGGGAGGCAGCCTTGGCGTACCCTCAGTCTGTCCTCTGCTTGAGCACAGAAGTGTTTATAGTGACGAGTCTGATCTGTGACCTGGGAGGGCTGTGTCCTTGAAGTTGATGTGGTCCTCTTCCTTACAGCCTTGTAGCATTCCCTACATGTCTGAGATGGCTGTTTTCCTGAGGCACCTGCAGTAGCTCTAGTTGGAAACACTGAGATCAACATTTTTGTTGCTGTCTCATACAGAAGATGACTCTGTAAACAATTTCCCTACACACAGCGGTCTCCTTAACGATGCTTTAAAAATTCTTCTCTTAAAACCCCACACTAAAGATATTGAGGAAACATCTGCAATAAATGTCACATGCTAAATTTAGGCTCTTGGAATTTAATTTTATCCTGTTTTCATAGGCTTGTACGTTTGCTGACCCCGTGTGGTTCACTGAAGTATAATTGCTGATTGAATAGAATGAACTTTTTTTCCCCATCATGCTACATGTAGTTCTGTGCATTAACATCCTCTCTCTTACCTCTTTTTTTTTTTTTCTTCTTTTTTTGTTGTCCAGGTACTTTCTTACAAGCTTCTATACAAAGTATGACCGCATCCACTTTGTCATCAACACCGTCTCCCTGCTCACTGTGCTCATTCCCAAGCTTCCTCAGCTGCATGGGGTCCGAATCTTTGGGATTAACAAGTACTGATCTTTGGCAGAATCTCAATCTCCCTTCCTGGTGCGGTTGTCCAGCTCTGCTCTCCTTGGATTGCAACCAAGGACGTCCCGTGTTCCTCTGTGACTCTGAAGGGCCTGTGACATCAGGACTTGCCCAACCTCAGTACGAGGCTCTTTTTCCTAAAGCTCTAGTGAATGAAGTTCAAGTGTGGCAGGAAGTGATGCTAGATGGCAGTGGCAATATGGTGTGGCTCATCCAAATTAAAGGCTTCTCTTTTGTTTGTTGAAATCTGAGCTACTTCTGAGAAAGAGCTTGACACCCATTGAGGTACTGAGGATGGACTCTTCCGTTGCTCGTTCAGTCTGCATAAAGTAAGCTGGGATAGCGTTTCTTCTAAATGTGAAACTTGATGACAATCGATGTAGAATGTCTTCCTTTCATGATCGTCCCACCAAGGAGCGCACTGTCCATGGCTCTGTTGACCTTCTCTGCTTCAGTGGTTCGCTCTTGAGGACCAGAAGCTTCAGTTGGCCTACCGACAGTCCCTGTGTATCTCTTGTGTGTGTGGCCGGCTGAGCAACTCTGGGGTTCATGAGAAGTGTGGCTTTACAATATGATACAGGGTTTTTTTTATTTTTATTTTATTTAAAAAAATGAAAAATTCACTTAGCCTTACCAGTGCTAGGTGGCAGGTACTGTCTGATTAGTTAAGGGACGTGTTACAGGTCAGATGAATTTAGCAGACTCAGAAAGGGACTTTACTTGAAAGTAAGTTCCCAGCTTTTTGCTCAGATCAGACCTTCGTTTTGTTGCCTTTAATAATATATGCCCTGACCTGAAGCCCTCTGCAGTGCCACAATATTGATCACCAAGAATGATTTGTTTAAAGAACATTAGCTGAAATGTGTGTTGTGTTTAGGAAGGTCTGCTTTAAGAAAATCCTGCAATGTTACACCTTCATACCAGTGGTAACAGTAGATGCTATAATGGGCTATAATAGGTGTTAAGGAATCTAGAGTCCGCAGGGTCTTCGAGTCACCATTAACATTTAAACTGTCAAAGCTTCCGCACACTAACTAAAACCAGGAAGCATAGTGTATAGGTTCTGTCAAAGCGGGGAGGTTTTCTGGAGCAGAGTGTGCAGATGAGTAGGCTGGAGCCCATGGACACACAGACTGAATGGGCAGAGATGGTGATGGATGGTAATGTATTTGCAGCAGTATAATCCATATCCCTGCAGTGTTCATGATTATTCATGGATAAGGTGGTGTGCCCTTTAAAATGACAAAACCATGTAATGGAAGATGGAGCAGAAACTGACTAGCTCTTGGACTACGTTTGGCTAACCAGTGCATTTTTTTTGGGGGGTTGGCTCAGGCTCTATAATGTGTGTTTGAGAGTCACTTTTCGCAAAGGCCCTTCTTGCTGATGTCGGAGCTTGTATTTATTCTGCGTTTTTCAGTGTACCCTTCACCCGAAGTACCTGGTCATGTTAGTTTGGGCGTTGCTACACCACTCTTTGTAATGTTTAAAGAAAAGCCAGTGCTTCATAGTGGGGGAGAATATTAACTGTTTAGGTGTAGTTGCATTTTTGTTTCAGATATCATTCACAGTGAAATGTTTTTTTTTTTAGTTTTTTTTTTTTAAAGTGTAGTTCTAAGCTGTATGTAGCAATACAAGGCATGTTCCTGAGCTTATTTGGTACTTAAAAAGCAGGTACTGATAATTCTCAGTGGTACCAGTACTGTTCTGTGGGAGTTCTCTCTGTGTGACAGCACAGCTTGGTGACGCAGCACAGCTGGCTTGCCAAGGGAATCTAGTCTCTGAGACCCCCATCGTATCCCCTGGCTCCAGGTAGCATAGCGAGAGTCACAGGCATGGCTTAGACTTTATCCTAAGGCCTGACACTCTTTGGGAAACACTGGCCTTGCGCAACTAGGTAGACTCTCAAAGCATATTAGGTTCTTTTAATTTTTCTTCTCAAGAATGCAGGGATGCTGTGAATTTTATAGGTTGGGTGGTGACGACTGTGGGCTACTTTTTTAATATTTCTTCATTTTAATTCACTTTTTCAGTCAAGCAATAGAGCATAATGTTTGCAGTTGACTGTATTCCACATTAGATCTGTAGATGATTTGTTCTGTACTGGATTTAATGTAGGTTTGGGTGGACCAAATCTGAAGAATTGCATGGACTGCTTGTGTTAAGGTACAGGATACATTTATGCTGCACGCTTTGGTAACTTCTATTAGGCAAATGAAATTGGTTTAATGTTTGTAGTTTAGAGACCACAAGCAGCCAGTTCTCCACCTTCCAAAAACCCAGCTAACGATTCTGTCACCTTTTCACCCCCACGGCAACGTGATTTCAAGAGCTGTTATCGGATTCTGCAGCTTGTTAAACATTAAATGGATGAAAGTGCAGCTGTGGGTAGAGTCGGATTCCAGGGATTAAATGACTGATGGGTGAACGTCACGTTCTGTGGTGGTCTACGTGCCAGTCCCTGTGCAGTTTCAGTCTACACACTGGGACTTGCCTGGCCCACGACTTCAGGGTGCAAAGGACTATGCTGTCTATTTTTGTTTTTAATTTGGTATCAATTCAGGTACTAAGTGCAGCAACTGATTAGAATAATTTGTCTTAGATTTGGGGAAAAGGTGTCGCATTCAGTCCACGTCATATAAAAAGTAAACTGGTACTTTAAACATGGCACGCATCTGCCTGGAAGGTGAGGTGTCGGACTTTTTACTTTTAGTCATTGGAAACATTGTGTAACTTTCCGGAGTACCAGCTGCTTCTGGCTCTTCATTAGTGCATATTCAATAGGATGTCAGCACCAGCCTGAAGGGTTTTGATTGGCTGGTTTTGGTCAGGTAGTGTGAGGAAGCAATGGGGACTCCCTCCCTCACTCTCTCTCAGCATTGCATGCGAGCAGTGGGAAGCAGCAAATTATGATGCTGTAACAGAAAGGTGTTAGATTTCCAGTTTTTTTTTTGTCAAAAGGGCTTCTTTTATTGTGTAGCCCATACTTTTGTCTTTTTTGCTGTACTGCCCACTAAGGGTGGAGTGAACACAAAGACAGTGATGCAAACTTTAAACCTTCCTTGTTAGACCTGAAAATGCAGTATTATAATGGTTAATTTTTTTTGTAATCTTAGAGAAGTTGATATGTGGAGGTACTCAGATCATGTAAGGAGAAATGTGTCCTGTTTTAAATGAGCAAATATACATCGTTTGAAATAAGTACTATGAGTATTGGATGGGCTGTAGGAAATGGCAGCATAAATGTCCTTTACAGATGTAGTAGATTTGAACGAGTAGCACACTGATATTTGGTGGTGGCCAGTATGGGTGCCACTGCATCAATGGCGTTTTTGTCCTGCAGTGTTATTTTTGTTATTAATACTAAAGTCTGGCTTGATTGATCACATCTGATTTCAGCAAGGGATTGATATCAAAAATGCATCACGTATAGACTAAATTTGGAACAAGGCCCGCATCCCAACAGAAAATGACTTTAATTCTACAAATCATGTAAGAGAAAATATTGTTTAATGGAGGACTGGAAAGTAGAATATTTCTTTAAGTACGGTGTTGCGGTAACTGCCTTGATACATTGTATTTTCAGACTCATTAATAAATATGTTGGCTCTAGTCAAGCTAGGTCATCAGAGGCAAAACATTTCTCTGAGTTGAAGGACGAAGACCTGCCTTTATTGGTAAATTTACTGTAGGGTTATAGGTACTCTGGATATTAGCATGAAATTAGATCTTATTGTTCCAAGACTTTAAGACAACCATGGGGGGTGGGATCTGAATAAGTGCATTAAATGTAACTGAACAAAATTATAGACGTGTATAATTATTGTTGGGCATAATTGATCAAAGTCAAAACCCTTCTTTCTAGGTGGTGGATTGAAAAACCATTTTGGACTTTTGCAAACATACACCTGCCCCAGTACAAAATAAACAACAGTCGCTGCTTCTGGTTTGTTTCAAAGCGGTATGTTTATCTTGTCATGTTTGCTGTTCATCCTTGCAGAATTAGTATGCTGTTAAAACAAAGCTATTAAAATAAAGGCTTTAGGGTCTTCTGTAGAATGTTCACTGACTAAAACAGTTTTCCAGATGGTATACTTTCTTAAGCATAAAGTTTGAAAATATTTTTATTACTCCTTTGTACAGTATTAAATTACAATAAAGTTCAGTATTATGTAAAGAAGTGTAATTGCCTTTTTATGTGATATCTAAAATTCACAAGTGTTTCAAAATTGTCATAATACCTTGTAATTCATTGGGCATAAATACAACTATTTTCCCAATCACTTGAGCTGACCTTTGGGTTTTTTTTCTTCTTTCTTTTGCAATATTTTCGCAATTAAGTCTAAGCAGCTTGGATGGTGTTAGTTACAAAAATACTTCATAGAAATGATTATGAAAGAGTGCAATGCTGGAGGGGTTCCTAAGGGGTACACATGCTTACTAATGGTCCAGTGTTCTAGGGATGTAATCAGATATCCCTGCACCTTGTACACACTTCAGAAATTGTTGCCTAACGACCTTCACTTGCGTGAGTTATATTGTGGGTCACCACCTCAGAGCAGATTGGATCAGTTACAGACTGCCTGAACTGCTATTCTTAATCTATACTGTTTCATCTATACTGCATGTACATACTGCCTGAATTGCTATTCTTAATGTATACTGTTTCATCTACACTGCATGTACATACTGCCTGAACCGCTATTCTTAATCTATACTGTTTCATCTACACTACATGTACATACTGCCTGAACTGCTATTCTTCATCTACAATATATCTTCATACTGCCTGAACTGCTATTCTTCTTATTTACTGTTTCATTTAAACTGCATCTACAGACTGCCTGAACTGTTCTTCTTCTATACTGATTTGCCCAAATTTCTAAAGCTTGCAAGTAGGTGGGTGATCAGAGCTGCTTCGAGACGCAGACGCTTAAGTCAGTCACTCTTGTTCTTTCTATTCGTATCACGAAGCTGTAAAAATATATTTAGTTTCTACCTATATATAACCTCGCAGAGTTATTTAAACGGTTTGGCGAATTTTCTGTCAGATCCCGCCTGGGCGGACCGCCGACCCCAGAGGAATTTAATATTCTAATCTAATCAGTTAACGGTTAATGTTCGGATAACGAACGGCGGTTGTCGGTTGGGAAAATTTATCGAAATGAGCATCCCTACTCTTAATCATTGAATTCAGGTGTTTCATTCAGACCCATTGTTACAGAAATCAAGCACCTAGCCATGTATTCAGAAGTGGGATGCATGTAGAGGACCTTCAGCAACACAATCTAAGAGCTCCTGGAAATCCACCATTGAAGGGGCGTGGCAAACCCAAGGAGATCTCTAGGAACTAAGCGCTACCTTCCCTGAGCAACCCAACGGCATTAGCACCCCCTGAATGCCCAAGCAATAGGCCCACAGCCAGGAGCAGTGTAACACAGCTGATCACGGTGAAGACCCCACAAAAGCTGCAGGGCTATTACGGGAAAGGGCTCCTTGAACTCTACCTCGTCCAGGTCCAGCTGGTGACGCGGCTCAATGGATTATCCTCCAGAGAGACAATGAGGCACCTGGCCGTGTTGCTGGAAGGCGAAGTCTCCCTCGCGAAGAATAGGGCAACCCTGATTATCGAGCTGGAATAGCAGTTTGGCTGGTGACAGTCCATGGGGAAGATGAGGGTGTAGTTCGAGGACTGGCGGTGGTACGGCGGCAAACGTAAAGGGGCATTTGCAGCTAATCTGAAGGACTACACGTGGCGGGGCTATCCTCATTTCCCCCAAGCAATGCAGGACAGACTGGTCCGCCATGCTTTCCTACAGGCCCTTTCCCAGGAGAGACTTCACCAGTGTGGCCTACCACTGCCAGTGGGCCCCTTTCCCCGTACTGAGGCCGGGAACCGCTACAGACTCGTTGCCATGGACTACCTATTTAAGTCACCCAAGGCGTATGCCATTCCCCACCATAGTGCCACCACCATGGCAGCGAAGCTGCTAGAGGAGTTCTTCTGCAACTTCTAGGCCCTAGAGGAGCTTTGTATTGGGAGAAACTGCAAGGCGCTATTGTTCAGGGAGGTATGCCAGTGGCATCCCCCCCTCCGTCCACAGAATGAAGGGCTTCTCAAGCACTTTCATTGCATCCTAGCTGCCCAGCTGGTCATCCTGGGACTGCCCCTGGGAGGTCCTGGAGCGATTATCCAATTTGGTCTGCAACATGGGTGTCGTTAGGTCTGATCACTTGGGGCTATAGCCCCAAGTATTTTAACCCCGACGCCAATTATCCTCCTTCAAAAAAAGTCAAGTCCCAGGTAAACCTGACTTAGCCTCT